ATTGGGGCAATTAGGCTACATTCATACAGATGCTGGATACAAAAAGCGGCCAGGGCCTTTTTTTTTTTGTATCCCTGAGCAAACCCCAAGCCACTAAAGTACTTGGTACAGCCCAAATGCTGCATCCAATGTTCAGACTGGTGTGCGCATAAAAGCATTTACTCAGCTGTCCATCTCCGCCTACTTTTCCTACTCTGTGGCCCTTTTTTTTTTTTTTTTTTTTTTTTTTTGTGTAAATTTTGTCTTATTTAGGTGTTTTTTTTTTTTTTTTTTTTTTTACTGTCTGTGTAAACTTAGTCTTATGGCTTTGTTCTAAAGCTGTTGAGGAAAGCATGGCTTCCGTAAGGGGTCACCATAACTAATGGTTGAATCTTGCCATTATTTGTAAGCGTTCATCGTGCACACGGTGATTGTAGATGTATTGGTGCACTATTGCAACAACACAGTTGCGAACAGTCCTTGATACTTTATTTGCACTAATAGATTTCCAGGACAAGCTTTCTGGGCCTACTCCTTCTTCTAAGGTCCAAGCAGCACTGGTATATGTATACAGTACTGCTTGGACCTTAGAAGAAGGGGGTAGTCCCCAAACGCTTATCCTGAAAAATGTAACTGTTTGTGCAAATAAAACGAAGCATCACGGACAGGACTTAACTGCGTTGTTAAGCATTCCTCATAAACATTTGCTACAAGAACGTGTGCCAAGCAGTAAATAGGTCTTGGAAGATCAATCATTGTACTTTGGTGGCAGTCCTACCTGGTGAAAGTCTCCATGAAATCTCTAGTTTTCATCTCATGTATACTGAGAATCTAATAGAATTGACAGATTCCCCATAAGATGAGATGGCCACTGCTGCCCGCACTAAACTTTGACGAGCATTAATAGACAATGACCAATGAAAAGTTTGTAGTGGAATGTTTGCAAGGTCTGTGATATATAGAATGTTCCAGATGACATCTCCATTCTCAGGTCAGCAGTGTCTCCTTTGAACATGGACAGCAGCTGATGAACGATTAGTGATGAAGAATTGTGATTTGTTTGGTTTTGCTGATTAT